TAACCCTTGTCATAAGTATAATAAGAAAATTTCTAAGTATTGTCTATTCTCATGCACTTAACATTCAATCAATCTTCTTCCCCATTATCTAGCCTAGCGAATATTGATCTACTTTCCATTGTTATGGTTTTGTCTCTTTATTTTACTAAAAAATTTTTTTAAATTAGTATTATTTTATTTTCTTACACAAATGGAGCACAACTTTTCATTTAAACTTGTGTACAAGATGTAGAGTCATGCCATTTGTGCAATTGTAGCCACACATAGGGATAATAATGTCCATCTCATTTCACCATTTGCCCCCACACCCCCTTCCCTCCCCTCTCTCCCCTCTGCTCATTATAGTAAACTATAAAACTGTTTTTTAAATATTTATTTTTTAGTTGTAGTTGGACACATATCTTTATGTAGTGCTGAGGACTGAACCCAGTGCCTCAAGTGTTCTAGGCGAGCACTGTACCACTGAGCCCCAGCCCCAGCCCCCTATAAAACTGTTATACAAAGTGGCTATGAAAAATTTTATTTCTAACTTTAGTGTATATATCAGTGTATATATTAGTATATACCAGTGACTCTATATCCTTGTCAACACTTAATGTGGTGAGTCTTTCAGTACTTCACCAGACTGATTGAACAATGATTTTTAAAATGAAGAATGAATCAAAGAAGAAATGAGAGATGAAATAGAGAAATTCTTAGAAACAAATGAGAACAGAGATATCAAAATATCTAAAACAGTATGAAAGCTGAGGAAAATTTATAGCATTGAGTGCCTACATTAAAATAATAGAGAGATCCCAAATAAAAAAACTTACGTTTCAACTAAAGGCCTTAGAAAAGGAAGAACAAACTAACCCTAAAACTAGTAGAAGATAGAAAATAATAAGATCAGAACCAAAATTAATGAAATTGAGAATAAAAGAAATACACAGGATCAATGCAACGGAGAGTTGGTTTTCTGAAAATATAAATAAGATAGATAAACCTTTAGGACTGGGTGTGTGGCTAGAGTGCTTGCCTAGCGTGTATGAGGTACTGGGTTTGATTCTCAGCACTGCATATAAATAAATGAATAAAAAAAGGTCCATCAACATCTAAAAAAATATTTAAAAAAAATAAACCTTTACTCAAACTAACCAAAACAAGAGAGAAGACCCAAATAAACAAAATTAGAGATGACAAAGGAGGCATCACCACAGACACTTCTGAACCAGAGGATGATTAAAACTATCA